CCTTCGAGTAGCATCCCTCACAACCAACTCGTTCAGCTGGTTCCACGAGGGCATGGTAACAAATTATCACCTGCAACTTGGGTCTTGGTATCCCTCTGGTGGGTCCGAACAGTACTTGACACACAGGCTGACCAATTGTCTTGGACCCATTAGCTGGTTGTCACAAATACAGTGGTATCACTGCAATGTTTCAGTCTGTTTTCCCGANTACATGGACAAGAATAGTGTCCACTTACAATCTTGACACCTTCGAGTAGCATTCCTCACAACCAACTCGTTCAGCTGGTTCCACGAGGGCATGGTAACAAATTATCACCTGTAACTTGGGTCTTGGTATCCCTCTGGTGGGTCCGAACAGTACTTGACACACAGGCTGACCAATTGTCTTGGACCCATTAGCTGGTTGTCACAAATACAGTGGTATCACTGCAATGTTTCAGTCTGTTTTCCCGAAGATTGTGCTGGTTATGGTTTTGATCTTTATCAATGATGTATCACTCAATACTCATTTTCTGTTGGAACTTTTTTTTATGTTGTACTCAGAATCAAGAATTCTATTGAGCCTCCAAAAATCCTAGTTCCCGTGCATGGGATCACCACTGTTTATACAGTCTCAATACATTTCAATATGGCCTCTTTAACTACTAAGGAATTTTTTTTAATCTAACAACCTCTTAGGAGAGGTGCTCCAAACCTTTAGAACACTTAAAAAAGTCCAGGCATGGATCTGGGTCGATCTAGGGGCCAGTGAAAGCATTTGAAGGGACTTTCTCGTATATCAATTGACCTATCTGCCTCCCTTTTGGAATGAAAGCTGGGAAGAAGTGGAGCTCCTATTAGATCCTATCCCAATGTCCCTAGCTAAAAAACCCACAATTGACCACAGATCTAGATTTATTAAGATGATTTTGATGAGTGCAGATGCTAATCTAAATTGGAACAGATTCCCTGATGCTGCTTCTTCATCTTCAATCCTGCATAACTTCATTGTATGATCTCTATTATAAATCCATGACCTATGGTTGGAAAGTTCACGAGAGAGAGAGAGAGAGATGTTCTGAATTATGGTGTGGTCTTTTTGTTGTATAGGTATTCATTTACTAATCAATGCCATTTATCGTGTATTAAGATCAGAATTCCTACCTTCCTTCCCTTTGTCATCTTCCAATGCTTGCTTCACAAGTTTGGGATTTACAATTTTCTTTTTCCATCTAAAAATTGAATGAAAAAACCTTTCTTATTTCAAAAAATTTTTCCAGCCAAATGCATAACCCCTTTATTGAAAGTAGCTAAATGTTTAAATATAGCAAATCTATAAAACGATATCAAATCAACGGGTTAGATATTCAGGCTTGAAGCTTCATTCAGAAATGNATTTTTCCAGCCAAATGCATGATCCCTTTATTGAAAGTAGCTAAATGTTTAAATATAGCAAATCTATAAAACGATATCAANTTTTTTCCAGCCAAATGCATAACCCCTTTATTGAAAGTAGCTAAATGTTTAAATATAGCAAATCTATAAAACGATATCAAATCAACGGGTTAGATATTCAGGCTTGAAGCTTCATTCAGAAATGTTGGAACCATTACTGGGACATATACTATTTCTTCTGTTGTCTTGCTGAACCTGTTTTGCCCTTGATGTAACCCTTTGCATTTTAAAATGACAATTTTCTTGTCTGTGACTTTGATTTTTCCATTAAAATGTCTTCATTTTCACGTGTCTTAATCTGGATGATTCTCAGAATAAAACTATTTTTTTTAATGTTTGTCATTGGTCTATTACTCTATTTATATTGACTTGAGATTATTTCAGGCGTAGAGTTGTAATTTCATGTTTCTCCATATAGTGTATTCTTAAATTATTGAAATAAAACAGGTATTATCACAATATTACATCGAATACTCTCGTAGTATTGGAGGCCATGGCCGCACATAATGTGAAGACTTTGATATATTCAAGTACATGTGCAACATACGGGGAGCCTGAAAAGATGCCCATTACAGAAGAAACCCCACAGGTGAAGTTCTTAAAAACTCTTGGTGCATTGTAGGCTGCAATATTATGATTATTATAATTTTTGTCTTAATCTTCTTCATCCAATAAAACATGGTAATAGCATCCTATGATTTTGTATTGTGTATTTGGAGATGTATCGCAAAATAGCTCATATTCTCTGTTGCTAGCGCAGCTACCAATTAATCCTTATGGAAAAGCCAAGAAGATGGCGGAAGATATCATTCTCGACTTTCACAAAAACTCAGACATGGCTGTGATGATTTTAAGGTGCGCCTTAATGTATAGTTATCTTCAGAATCCTTCTATCGTTCTTTGTTTTGTTAGTGTCTGTTATGGTAATTGTTCTTTGTTTTATTGCATGAGCCTTTTGTTGTCTTTGGGATTCTTTCATGTGTTGATTCTGAGATCTTTGATCTCTGTACTCCCTTTTTGAAAGCAGAGAAGAAAGGTTATGTACACACTGAACATACTTAAAAGAGACGGTTTTTACTTCACAATCTGTGTGACTCTTGATGATATCTTCATAATGTCCACTACTCCTTAACCATGTCAACTCAAGTCAGTATCTTGGAAGAGTTGTTAGGTTCCTTCATGCCTATACCTAATACAAGCTAAGCCTTTGTATTAGATGTACTTTTTCCCTCAAACTTTGTGAAATTTAAAATTCTCAAGACCTACTACTGATTAGCAAGTGTTCACCTAATTCTCAATTTATGTCATTTTTTACCAGTGCCAGATTCAGTAACACTGCTTTTAAGTTACTTTGAGTCATCGAAGCACAGCTGTTACATATTCTTGTCATTGGGATCATATTTTAATGAACAAAAGGTCTGCAAAATTCATTTGGGATAATGATACCTATATATGAGACACCCTTGTCTTCAGTGCTGGGAAGCAGGTCTCTGGCCACGCGTGGTCACCGTCTCACAGCCAACTGTTGTATTAGTTGTTTAGTTATTCACACAAGTATGAATTGTAATAACCAAGATAAACCGGACTCGCATATGTTTAAATTTCAGGTACTTCAATGTGATTGGTTCAGATCCAGATGGAAGATTAGGAGAAGCTCCTAGACCAGAATTACGTGAACATGGACGTATATCAGGTGCTTGTTTTGATGCAGCTCGTGGAATTATTCCTGGGCTTAAGGTATGCTGATCTCTGATCCCTTCATACTTTTCTCTTTGAGCTGTTGTCAACGAGTGTCACACACATGTGCAGAACACTCTTCTCACCTTAAGTTGGATACATCTGCTGCCAGAATTGGATTAAATTAATTCAGAGTCACCAATGGAATATAAAAATTTTGCCAGTTGCAAGTAGCAAATTTTTACTGGCTTTGTGAAAAGAAAAATAGAAAAAAACTCAAATGATTACCCAAACCACAAAAGATGGTCGTATTTCAAATCTCCAGTATGATAAAGCTATCTCCACTCACTACAAAAATATCTGGGATTACAATGGGTAATGCTAATCTGATGTGCTGATTCTGGTGCAGGTTAGAGGAACAGACTACAAAACTGCAGATGGCACTTGCATACGGGACTATATTGATGTTACTGATCTGGTCGATGCTCACGTCAAAGCTCTTGAGAAGGCCAAGGCTGGGCAAGTTGGAATCTACAATGTTGGGACTGGAAAAGGTACTGCATTCAGTCTTGTATGGGGCATGAAGTTTGACTCCTCTTAAATAATCATATTTCAAGGTTGCTTTCTCTTACAATGCTTATTCATGATGATCAGGTAGATCAGTAAAAGAGTTTGTGGAAGCATGTAAGAAGGCGACGGGGAAAAATATCAAAGTTGACTTCCTTCCACGCCGTCCTGGTGACTATGCAGAAGTGTACAGTGACCCGACTAAGATCTGGCGTGAGCTAAACTGGACAGCACAATACACCAATCTTCAAGACAGTTTGCAGACTGCGTGGAGATGGCAGAAGTCGCACTTTAACGGGTATGGACCGCCTCTGCCAATGGCTGTTTAGTACAATCATCACGGATTCATACTGGAAGACTAACCTTGCTCCATGTTGAGTCAACTTTAGCCCCAGTTCTATTACTCTCTTAGAAAGGGGGGTTTGAGCTCAAGAGTTTTGATACGAATATTTTGTTAAATTGTATGGGGTAAAGTAGTAGAAAGCAGCCAATTTCTTATATGTATTGAAACAAATGACAGTTCAATAATAATGCAAAGTGGGTTATAGCTTTAGGTACTGCTTGTCAACATATTTATAAGTACTTTTTTCTTGCTTTTTAAAAGTATTTGTTCAAATTGCATTTTTTTACGCGTTTCCTCACATTCTACAAGCTTAATAGAATATAAACTATTTTTCTAAAACATATATCGGTAAAACTAGTTCTTTACTTGAAAAATAAATTTTAAAAAATTATCAAATGGGACATTAGTATTCCTTCATTTTTCTTTTTTTTTTTTTGTGGCCACTATTGGTTGGTGAAGGGGTATTGAAGCGAAGGTTAAATTTGAGGATGTGTTTGGGAGCATGGAATCCACACCTTGGAATTGAAGTCGGGTCGTCATTAGTNGTGGCCACTATTGGTTGGTGAAAGGGTATTGAAGCGAAGGTTAAATTTGAGGATGTGTTTGGGAGCATGGAATCCACATCTTGGAATTGAAGTCGGGTCGTCATTAGTTCAAACTAAGATAGTTTCCCAGATGTTGATCCAACATCAATGCTTTTGCTAATTCAGTGTCAGTAAATTTGTGAAGGCAAATTAGGGGTGCAATTTGGACGGGTTGAGAGGTTAAGTCTAATTTAATTTTAGTTATATAATATTTAATTCTAATAATAATTTTAACTCTAATTCGACCTCAACTCGAAATACTCAATCCGAGTATTGCCCAAAGGGCTCGGGTTGAATTCGGGTTGGATTTGAGTTACGTAATTCGGGTTAAAATTTGAGTTGGGTTCGTTCAAGCCAAAAATCAGCCTCTTATTCTAAACCTAGTACATGCTACATCATATTCACCTAAAGTAATAACCAATAACTTTAATCAAATGTTTAACATAGAGACCATAGTATTTAAAGTATAAAAATCAATGTTTAATATAAAGACATAATAGACAAATATTTAACATAAGACCGAACCTTAGTGTTTTAAACTATAAGTTATAACGCTATACTGATTTATATGTTTGTTTTAAATATATCTTCGGGTTGAGCACGATTTAGAATCGGGTTGAGCCCGATTTAATGTTCGGATTAAGGTTGATTTATATATTCGGGTTGAACTCGTTAATACAAGGCCTCAACTCGGAAATTGTCCGAATTTAATTCGAGTTGGTGTTTTTCTTTTCAGGTACAACCCAAGAATTAAAATTTTCAACACAAACTTTGTTTTTACTGAATTAGATTTGGGTTCAATTCGGGTTGACCCTCAAATTGTACCCCTAGTGGCAAATTTGTTTTCTAGATCAAGTGTAATTGTGGTTGGCCCAAAAATGTAGCAAATTGAGGATGACAAGTTTGCCAGCCCATTCCGTTCCTTCCAATCCTCAATTAATGCTAGGCCCATATTCGTTTCCCTGCTAGCCATTACTGCTACTGCTTAGGTTAGTCACTGGCTCTTCTCTGTCATGTCATATTAAATTTTTGTGAAAATTAGGACAAGTCATCTTTGATGGACTTATAATGATTTGAATTCGTCAAAGAAATATATTTGGGACTAAGTCCGTTTTTAATTTTATTAGTAAGGAGTTAAGTCAAATTTTTTAATTTCAAAATACCCTTAACATTGTTATTTTGGACAGTTATGAAAAATTGAAAATATTATCTATAAGGAGCTATATATGGAGGCCAATGATTGAATATAGGAATGCTTGATTTACGATGGTAATTGTCGATTATAAGTTTTCCATAATACTTCAAATTCAAATTTTTAGTCATTACTTTGTCTGTTATATATTTAAATAATCGGCTTTTGAAATTTGAAGTTAATTTGAAAGGAATGAAGGTTGAAGCTGGAGTACAAGCTCGAGATTTTGAAAAAGTAACATGGACAGTACACACAAAATACTTGATGTTAGCATAGTAACATTAGTTTAGTAACATCAATTTCAAAATGTAATTTACTAAAACATATCACTATTTTTTTTTATGTTATTATTTTTTATTAAACATGTTATTACTTTTTCAGTGCTACTTTTTTAGATGTTGAAAAATTTCAGACTTCTTCCTTATTATTTTTATTTTCAATTTTGTTCAATATTCCATATTATTTTTTTTTGGTTGAGCATGTTACTAGGTTTATTAAGCATGTTACTGCTTGTTGTTAAGTATGTTACTATTTTTGTTAAACATGTTACTGTTTTTGTTGAATATGTTACTATTGTTATTTTTTTAAAATATTAATCTTGGATGTTATTATTTTTTTATGTTTAAATGTTATTATTTTTTGTGTTTAAATGTTACTATTTTTTTGTATTTGAATGCTATTTTATTTTTATTTTTAATGTGTGTGTATATATATATATATTTGTGTGTGTGTGTATGAGAGAGATATAGTCCTCACCTATATATTGATATAGATAGATACGAGACAGATATTTTTTTTTTGCTGGTCGAAGAAAAATAGGTACAAAGCAGAGGATATAAAGGAAAAAACCAAAACCGACTACTAAGTTATCTATAATGCTAAGCCTACTGAGTCTACTAAGCTCCTTGTGTGGACCAGAGAGCTTGGTTGTCATGCATCACTTCTTGTCTACCCATTGCTGTAGATCATTTGCACTCAAGGAGCCTGTGTATCGTGTAGCAAGTCCCCATTTAGCCAAGGCATGAGCAGCTTTGTTCGAATCCTCGTAAGCATGAGTCATTGCCTAATCCAAATGTCGCGATAGGAAGTGTTTTATATCTGAAATAACCGTGGCAATGGTCCATGAAACTTTGACATGTGGAAGAGTTGCCGCAAATACTACTTTTTGGGAGTCTCCTGACTTGATCCGATATGTGTACACTCAAGTTCAGACGGTCAAGTTGTAATAATAATCCAGTTAAGTCCGGAGTCGAATCCACAAGGAACTATGATTAGAGTTTTGAAGTAGCAGTGATAGAGACCAAGTAACTGAAAATCTTGAGAGTTTGAAGTTATGAGATTTTCTGGACAGAATATAAGATTTCTTCCAAGAGTTTTTTAGACAAAATATAAGATAAATTCAAATATAAACAGTCACCCCTTAGCTCGAGGATCTGAATATGTAGTTAATCATCTGGTTTATTATACTTGTGCTTGGTAACTCAATTAACTCCCGTGTCAACGACAAGTTAATTGGAGGATAAAGGTGGATTGTAAGAATTAAGCATATGATTCCGATGCCTTTTTAAAAGTTTACAAGAATTGTCTGTGCCGGAACTCAACCCGTTTACAAACAAGTAAGTGTTTCTGCAAGACATCCAACCATGACGTTAATATTCCATCTTTTAAATGAAGTCCAATAATGGTGAAGATTGAAAGGTAGTCATGAAGATCTAGTTGGAGTATTTGCCTTGAACACATAAATCTTTCTATGCTAGAGTCATCCATATCATAGAAAGAACCCACGGTTATACAAAGTACCTTAGCTTTGCTAGATGCATTCAATCTTTTAATAAGCAGGTATAATATAAAGCATTAAAGCATAAATGAAATGCACAAAATATAACTTTTAGATGATTTATACATGT